TAGGTCAAAATGTACGTAAAACACTACACAAGAGATTTCAAGTAGACCCAAATTAGGTTATTTTGGTGTCAAAATTACACAAAAGTAACTATTTTCTGTTTTTCATTGTAATAAGAGAATAAAATACAAAAAATACACATTATATACCAGACCAAATTTCTAAAAACTAAAAGTGTAAGAATATTAAATAAAAAAGAAAAAAGCATAAGATCTCGACAACATGAAGACATATAAATAAAAAAAATAAATTTTGAGATTGCGAACGAGACCTTCTGAATTACTTAATTTTTTTTATCTTTAGCTTCTTTAGTTTTTCTTTCGACATTTGTAATCTTTTCTCAGATTTATTATTTTTTCTTGTAATGTTTTTATTTTTCCCAATCTTTTTCCAATTGTTAAATTACCATTTCAGGCTTTGTTTCAACCACTTTTTTTAAATAAATAATTTATTTTTTTATTTTTTGTGTTGCCGGATCGGTTTTCTTTTTTTTTATTATGCCATGACAATTTTGTGATTCTACTTACGTATATTATTCTCAAATTTCACTTCTTTATTTCTCAATAATTCTTCTCATTTTCCTCAGATTAAGTTTACAAGTTTTTATTTAAAACCAAAACTCTTTAAGTGGACTTCAAATTGGTCAAGTCGGTGGCAAAACAAATGAAACCACGTTTTTTTTTTCATTTAAAAATATTAGTCCTTAATAATAATCACGATAGTTACAATAAACCAAAACTAAAACATTTCAAGTGGACCTAAATCCGTTCTTGCTGGTGTCAAAATTAAATAAACCATGAATTTTCGATTTTTTAAGATAATAATAATAGCAATGATACTAATCATAGGTCAAAATGTACGTAAAACACTAAACAAGAGATTTCAAATGGACTCAAATCAGGTTATTTTGGTGTCGAAATTACACAAAAGGAATTATTTTTGTCATTTATATTGTAATAAGAGAATAAAATACAAAAAATCCACATATACCAAACCAAATTTCTAAAAACTTTAAAAAATTGTAAGAATATTAAAAAAAGAAAAGAACATAAGAGCTTTAGAACATTCGGTAAGCAATATGTAAAACTTATGACCAAAAACAAATAAGATTTAAGAAACTGTCAATTAAATCTTTTTTTCTTCATCATCATCTTCATTTTCTTTAGTTGTTTTCGACATCCTCAGTTTTTTATTTGATTTTCTCGTTTTCTTGTTAATTAATTTTTTTTATTTTTTATTTATTAAGACATTGTTTGTTTGTTTTGGTACATACTATTACCTCCTAAAGTATTTTACAATCTTTTTTTAATACACTGTATATGTTTTTTTGTAATTATTTAGTACAAAAATTTAGTCAAAAAAGTCACAGATAACGTCAAAAAGAGTTACAATTTAGGATACAGCTCCCTTGTTGCTTCTTCTAATAGCCTGTAGCAAAAAAAATTGAAAATTGTCATAACTTCAAAATTCTTCTAGATAGAATTTTTAATTTTTTTTTCTATGTTCTTGGCGTGATTTCTGGCGCACCCTGTAGAACCTACCTGTTTTATTGACGATGCTCAAGGCTTTGCAGACAAAATCGCAGGTTCCCGACGCCTCCAAATTGGCGTCTTTCAGTTGATAGGCCACAGATCCATAAGTGGTGAGTGAGATTCCGAGCCCAAGTCCCGGTTCGTCGCCCCCATATTTCTGGTCGGAGCAAAGTCGTCGTTGCTCGTCTCCGGACACCTGCGGCAGGCCCACCTGTCAGTGAGGGGTTAGACACAGTCATCCGCCGCCTCCACTTCATCTAACACTATAAGCCAAAGCAGAAGCAGCCAAGCTTTCAGATAAGGAAGAGATAGGGAGACAGAGATTTCAAGATTTTCAGGACTGAAAAAAACACCTTCAAGTGGGGCAAGATCTGTTTTTGAAATTGTTTCACCAAGAGCAAGTATCGGTTTTCAAGGCTGAAAATTCGTTTCAGCTGAAATCTCTTGAGAACATAGAATATTTAAGTAAACTCGTGTTGGTAAAGTTTTTGTTTCGTACAAAATTTAGTACCAAAACTTCAGCTTTAGTTTGAAAAA